GCCAATATAAACTGCCAATGTTAAATCGTCTGCATTAAGTTTGCAATGAGGCGTTCAACCGATGAAATATTTAAAACAAAAATATTCATTTAAGGCAGCAGAAGTTGTCCTCCCTTAATTTATGAACGAAAACAAATTATTATAGAACTGTCGCGATTGATTATCAAGGGATTGACAATACAAACAATCGACCTATCTTTTACGTCTAGATCGTAGCCAAGCTAGAAATTGCCTCATTTTTCTTGATTTTTTACTACACTAAAGACCTAGCACACTAGTTCCGGTCGGTACGGAACATTCCGTTAATTTCAGTCAACTCACGTGACCAGTAACATATGGTACTAAATTATTATAATTAGCTTACAGTTACCTCCCTTCAGTTCCCGGTGTAAATGTAAACAAAACAACCAAATAAATCGGAGATGGAATTATGCATGCGAGGGATCACTTTGTTTCCAGAATTCTTTTACGATTTTATTTACTTTTTATAGATGCGCGATTTTCACGCACATGATTTTGAATTGTGCGCAAACCAGGGTTTTTTTTCAGTATTTTGGGAACATGACCCATACCCTTGAGATTGGGAATTTTAGCGGCATTTTGGCCTAAATTGGGAAAAAAACAAACAACATTTTCAAGTTTCCTGAGGAAATATATTCCTTTTCTAATATGATTTAGTTCACAAAAGTAGGTCTCTGGTTTTCATATTTTTGAACTGTGTTATTGTATCATTTAGTTCCTGACTTGAAAGGGACTTGTGCCCTTGATTGTGAACACAAATACGCATTAATGCATCCAAAGAAGACTGGTTCAGTCTGCTTCTGCTTGAAGTACACAGAGAGTTCATGAGACTAAATGTCCTCTCAACACTTGCTGTGCTGCTTGGAATGGTCTTAGCCAGCCCAACAAAGTAAAACATTATTGGGAATGCATTGCGGAGCACTTCATCTTTCACCATTTCTTCATACAGTTCAGGTCTTGGATTCCTGTGCCTTAAAAATAATAAGTGATGCATTAGGTTATTATTTACCACAGATTTTGTAAGCATATTTCCAAATAAATGATAATTAACTGAATCTCATTCTGCATAATAATTAATTTAACTAAGTGTGACTGTCAGTCATGCTTTAATAACATGTTTAACTTTTTATTGTATTAAGTTTTACTATAAATATGTTTCATTTGTTGTATTATTATGTGATAGTCATACTTTTCAAATAAAAGTAAACAAAACTCTGTCTTCTTATCACTAATCATAATGATAAATAATTACACAATATTATAAACTTACTAAAATAATTAGATGGTTAACAGTAACAATTTCAGTGCTGCATATTCTACTGAAAGACTGTGATACTGAAAGTTAATCTGCCAGCACTAGAACAACTCAACTGGAAGGGAAATATAACATGAATAAATACAGTAACAGTAAACAACTGGAAACAACTGAAAACAGTAACATTTGTAAACTTGGCAGGCTGAGGAAACTTCCAAACAAACCATGCCAATAATTTATTGTTAACTTGAACAACTGGTAACTAAGAAAAGGAGTCACCAACCTGACTGTAACTGTAAATTTTTAAGGAGTTTAACAGAGCAATTTGAAAACAACATTGAATTATTAATTAAATGCTACTAGGTTGAACAGGAACATTAAACTCAACTAAAACTGAATTAATATGCACCCTTTCTACTTAATAACTTACTTCAACATCAACATCTGTCTTTTAAATTGGTTAAACTCTTGAACAATTGCGTCCTCAGTGTACACTGGCTGAACTTCAACTCTGTGTCCCATGAAAACATCCAGTCTGGGTCTACCATAATGACTAGCAAGTGTCTTAATAGCTTCCTGAAGAAACAAATTATTTAAGCAACATTGTTACAATGTCAAGTTACAAAATGTATATTGTAGCTTTTTACATACTGTATTTATAATTAATAGGATAATTTCATTTAAATTTTATAATATGAATTATGCAAAAATGTCTCTTTTTTGACTTACTGAGTCAGTTAGAGTGACAAACTTCCTACAAGCATGGATAAGTTACCTAAGTATCATTTAAGGTACTGTTAAATCATTATTATAACTTAAACTATTAATATACCTTCTTATAGTCCTTCAGTTCTTGAATGTCATCTGGGACAGACTCCAATCTAAATGCATTAAATGCACAAAGAACAGGAGAGCACCTGAAAGCATCTTCAATTTCTTGTATAAGGTGGTGGGTTATAGGTACAGCTACTTCATTCACAAGATGTTCTGGATCGTAAACTCCATCATTCCCTCTGTAAAATTAATCATAAATGGGACATTCACATAAAAAAGTTTGTTGGTGCAATTAAAAAATATTTTTCTTTTCATTGAAAAATAATGTTCACTCTATATGACATTTTACTAACGACAATTTAACTGACTGGGGAATACATCTTGATGTTTCAATTATGAATACCTTAATCTCCTCATCAGAATAGTTCTTTCATCAATTTCCATGAAAAGAGCTGGCATCTTGGAAAAGTACAAGTCAGCATCAGGAGTCTGGATGGAGTCATGGAACCTCTCTGTCAGGGTGTGTAGGGCATCAGTCAGATCCTAAAATTAAAATGTATAACAGTAAGCTTTAATCCCTTTTGACTGTCAGACAAATAATTTAATCAGAAATCAAATCATAAATTTCAACAATTAATTTTAATATTTTTACCTTGGCTTTTTTGTTGACATGTGAGAAGTCTATACTGGCACCTTGAAGATAATCACTAAAGACAATAACTGGTTCCAACAGGTCACATAATATCAGGATACCAGCCAGAGTATCCTGAAATATTCGGTTCTCGATAATGTAACAATAAAATGCAAAAACAACAAATGGAAAAAAGACTCACCTTTATTCTAAATACATCATTGAATCCATAAATATATTCTCTTTAAGTTTTTTAATTGTTAACAATCAATGAAATAACGAATAAAAAATATTTTCAAAAAATATAACAACTGTCAAAAAAGGATTTCCAAAATGGCGTCTTGAATTCTCGATAACTCGAGATAAATCTCAAAACGAGGCTGTATTAAGTATGGTGGCCCAGTGTTGACATGCTATAAACAACAGTTGCAGTAGAACACTGTATTCTTTCTCACAACACAGGACTGGAGAGCAGTATTTAAGGTGAACCCAATGGGAACAAGTAGCATTATCACACTGTGCCCAGTGGGTGAATTCTATTGCACCATGGGAATGCTTGTCTACATAATATTGATGACATTGGCAACACATATCTTCATCAGGTATTTCTGATTCATTTTCAACTATCAGAGAGGTCTGATTTTTCAGAAAGTTCAATGTTTTGTTTGGATGGACCTGGCTTTTTGTTTATCATTTTATTTGAAGATTGAAGCTGGTGGCTGAATTCTTTTTGTTCTTAGGAGTTTTAGTTTTTTTCTTTTTTAGGATCATTTGAACTAATTTTACTGTTACTTTCATCAATGTATTTTTTCATTTTTTCTACAGTTTCACCTTCCAATGCTTTTCCACCAACAATACTATTAATGCTTTTACGTTTTTTCTTCATGATTTTTATATGTACATCACCACCTTTCTTATCAAAAAAGTTATTTTCTGCTGTTTCAGATTTTTTGTGATCTCCTGATGCTGTCACTTCATCATCAACTATGTAAAGTTCAGATGGTTTGATTTTACTTTTTTAAAAGTTCAACCATAGAGGACGAGTTCTTGAATGGATAAATGCCTGCCTTATTGAAAGAAGCTTGTAAATTTAAAGGACTTAGAGCAAATGAGTACGCCTTGCAAGCAAGTGAGCAGACATCATAACGAGTGACAACTCTGTGATGTGTTCTAGCAAATTTAGAACATTCTTGAGCATATTTCAGTTGCAGGGACCAAAACATCCAATGTCCATAGGCTGGAGGATATGAGAGGTGTGTGGTGGCAAGACAAACAGAACAATATTTTGCTGTTTAGCCCATTCAACAAGATCTACTGATATGTGACTACGATGACCATCATACAGTATAAGAATTGTGTCATCTGATCTTCCCTGGCAAAACTTCATAAAATGATTTTGCAAATAATCTTTAAAAACAACACTATTTGACCAACCACTTGGTGTCATGATACCATCAGCACCTGGACTTTTTCCTTCCAAGAGACCATCTAACATTCGGACACCAGGGAAAACAAAATATGGAGGGATTTGCATTCCAGCTGCATTGCCAGCCCCTATTATAGTGACAGTTTTACCACGCTCAGACATGATAACTTGTGCCTTACAATCTTTTCCACTAACAACACTAGGGGGTTTATATTCAGTATTTATTCCCTTTTCATCAATGTTATAGATAAGGTGCGGTTTGTCAAATAAATCATATTTACGTAAAATTCTTTCAAGTTCATTAAAGTATTTAGTGACAGATTCTTCACTGGCACATTTAGCACGTTGTTCAGACAGACTTGAAGGACGGACAACATTAAGTTCTGGCCACCTTTTTATGAAGTTATAAAACCAATTAAGAGTGAATGGCTGATCATCTTTCCTCTTGCCTAAAGAAACAGCATAATCAGAGGCTAAATTGACTACTTCAGCCCTCGTGTAACCATATCCAACAGAAGCAAGATCTTTTAAGTGTTCACACAATTTAGCTTCTTCATCTAAAGAAAGCACAGGGCAGGGTCCTGATTTGACACAATCAATTCATATTCTATTATCAACCCGGTCTCTCAAAGTAGTAAGAGGAACTCCATTTAGCTTTGCAGCTCTATATACTGGAATTCCTTCATCTTTCCACCATTTTATAAGCTGAATGTCATAGCAGTTGGTGACCATAGCGTAGTCTTGACCTTATCTGCAGGTTGAGTAAGCTGAAATGAACCAGAATAAACAGTCTTTTAATGCATATTTTGCTTATTTTGAATACCACATATATTAAACATGAATAAATAACAAAAATGTGTTCATTTCCTTTATTAGATGGTCCTTAACATCAACTTAGATTCAATACAGATTATGTCCAGTCTGTATTTAACTATTGCAATTAATAAGATCTATGGCCCTGATTTGCTTCCGTATTTTATTTTTTTGACAGGTGCTAGTGACGTATCACTTGGTCTATTTTTAGAACTAATGTTGATTTGTTTGCGTCATCCATCGGCTGCTGTCAGAGGCTTGCAGATAAATTAAAATGGAGGATTGTATAAAACAGAAAAAAGCATTAGTGAAAACTGTATAAAATTGATGATTTGTAAATAAAAGAGTAAGTTTACCTTTATCCTGAACATTTTTACCGTGAAAACAGTTTTTATTGAAGCAGCTGAATACACAGTGTTGACTTGGAGGTTTCCTTGTCAAATGACGTCAAACTCGTGAAAAAAAACACGCGATTATTTATTCTATCGGGAATTCCATTATATCGAGAACTGAATATCTGAGGATACCCTTTGAACACAGCATGTTTCTCAATCCATCAATTTCTGGGTCATGCTTCCTGTCAATCATTTCGTCTAGAGCATCTAGAACCTAAATTATTTAACAACAAGAAATCAAAGAACCGAGAACAATTAAAGAATGTAATATTTCAAAATTTATTAATATTTTTAAATAACTAATATCCTTAATAAAAGAATTATGATTCTAGAATTTTGAATGGCTTATATTTTTGCTATATATAATAATTAATACATGAATAATTAATACATGAAGTCTACTGGTAAGGTTTATGCTAAAATTACCTGGACATAGCGTTCAATAAGACGTCTACATGCCCTACCATGCGACAACCACCTTGTAGCTGCAGCCCGTATCATCTTAAGGTTCTTCAACCCATAGGCCTTCTGTACATCCATGAAGATAACATACTTCTGCGGACTGTAATGGAACAGTTTCCAAACACTTAGAAGAAGACTGTCAACATCTTGTAAGACCGGAAAGCTCAGCATCAAGTGCTTCACACACAGTGCTAGTTTGTGGTTGCGGCAATTTAGGTAGAGTTGGTATGGAACATGGTGTCTGAACCTTCTCTGAAGACCTGTAATGATGATGATCAAGTTAAATCCAGTGACATTCAATATTGTGACAACGATTAAATCTAAAAATTCTAGTAAATAAGTGTTGGTAAAGGCAAACAAATTTTTTTGAGTCATGTTTACAAAAAGATAATACAAAGTGAAACTCACATCTGATCAGATCTTATTTTAATTGCTGAACAAAACATTACAGCTTGGAGAAAAACATGGCATTTCTTGGTATTGCCAGTTGCATTTGTTGTAAGAATAGATTGTCAATTTGTCATATTAATATTTCAAGACCTGAATTTCAATAAATACCTTTGTTCTCCCCACTCATCGTATTACATCCATCAAACCCCACAAATAAGGCCTTTTTTATCTCTACCCCTTTTGCAAGCAGAAAAACTTCAAGTGACTTCATAAGTGAGGCAGCATCGGTGCGTTCAACATGGATTATTCCAAGAAACTGGTCAGTTACCCTTGTGTCGTGTGGAAACCTCACCAAAATGGCAAATTGTTCTTTGTGAGCCTCATCCGATGATTCATCGGCCAATAGGGCATAGTATGGCGCCTTACGAAGTTTTTCCAGTAATTGGTTTTCAATAACATAACTTGTTGCAGTTAAAAGGTCTGTAACTGTTGTTGATGAGGAATATTTCAAGACGGACGACTGTTCACTGTCAGATCCATTCAAGTACTCAGATAAAGAAGTGGGGCCTAAACCTGCTATAAAATCAAGCATTGGCTGGAAACTGTCTAGAGCCCAACGTTGTGAAACAATAAAGTACAATATTTTTATTAATGAACTAATATAAGCTCTATTTCTCTCAATATCATTTTCCCTCTTAATCATAGAACTTTCAGTTAACATGTCTGCAACAGTTTTTTTCACTTTCTTAGTAGAACTAGTATTAACTAAGACATACTTGGCGAGTGAATTCTTATGGCTCTTCCCATTTAAATGACTTTCTAATTTTCTGGTTGGATGATCCCCAAGACCTGTACCATTTATGAAGACATTGTCATCTGTTGCTGAAAAAAGCTCGCACAATTTGCAACAATATCCAACTTTTGCACCACTATAATACAACCAGTCATACTTCAACTCGTATTTGTTGGAACTGAATAACCTTTGATCAGGGACAGGGACAACTGTATGACTATCTGACTTATACTCGTTGCTAGAACTTTTAAAACCACTAGGAACATCATCGTCACGGTAACTCACGCTCACCGTTGAAGGCAATTTCTCACTAGTACATGTACTTGCAGTTTCATCCGCCGTTACCGTTTCCGCCGAGAGAGCCGCTTGTTTAAACATCAAATTTGTTATTTACATCATAATCTCTCTAATATATATTAATTTTACGTTTATTTATTAGTTTCTTATTAGTTATAAATATAAGAGCATTTAACACTGAGTACTACTGTTTTCCGTTGCAGTTGTCAAAAATGAAATGTGTTTAGGACAAACAATGTTTCATTATTGGTTTTTAATTGGAGTTCATATCTTTTTTATATTATCTATTCGTGGAACAAATATTTTGAGCTGTATTGTATAAATAGTAGTGTGAGACTGTCATTTGAAGCATCTTGCGTCAGAGACCCGCTACATGTTTCTGCAACATGGAAAAAACTAGAAAACTGATGATTTTTGGGGGGAAATTGATAAATTTAATTAAATTTTCTGGATTTTACGATTATTTCCACAGTGTTTTTTTTGTTTTTTATCTGTTTTGCCGCATTTCTTTTATTTTTTTTAATGGAGATGAAATGCTCTGCTAAATAGACATGTTTTCGGATATCGACGGAAGTCGCGAGCGTCGCTTCCATCAGTTTTAATGATTCCACGAGAATACGAGAAACCCCGAGAATACGAGAAACAGGGATAATTGTTAACTTTTTGTAATTTGTGTTGGCACATTAGTTATTTCTGTTTCATGAAGTAATCATTTCGTTTCAGTATAAAATATGTAACATAACGGCTACAAGATTTAAAAGATACTTACATCAATTTCTTCAAATTTTAAGAAAATCTTAGCCTGGACTAACCTCCGCCATATTGATATTTTATTCAATTTTACAGCGCATGCGCGATTCATAAAGGCCTCACAACACTAAATATTGTCCTTCACTTACCAGTAGTTAATGTATTTTCCCTCTATGGCTATATAGATTTCTAATTTTCTAAATAATGAGGCAAAAATAGCATGAAAACTTTGGACTTTTAAAAAAATAATAGATTTTGTTTTGATTGTTTTTCTATATTAACTAAAAAACACAATGGTAAAATGTATTATATAATGATTTACATAAAATTATATAGCGTTTCCGTAAATGTGTTCCTAAATGCAATAAAATTAAGTATAATAATGGCCTCAGCATTTTGTTTTTGTTAAAAAAATTACAATATATCTGTTACTTTGTTATAAATAAATCTAATAAAAATGTGATACATTTGTTTGACCGGTTCCGCGTTCAGTTTTTTCAACGTTTGGTGTCTGCTTACAAATTAACAAAAAGTTGGTTTAAAAAATGTACCTGCTAGCTAGTTGATATTTGATTCGACTTCAAGCCTAACAAGTATTAGGAAATATATTATCTTTTCTAGTAAGAATACTGCTTGATCGAATCTGGTTAGTTTCACCAGTTCCGAAGCAAGTTCCGGTGCACATAACGTTACAAATGCCATTTGTAATATTAATTTGACTATTTTTGCGAGCTAATACTTAAACTAAGTAAGTACAACTGCCAACTTTCAGTCTGATTTATTATTTTAATATTCATTCGGGGTATACATGTATATGGTATTGCAATCTTTAAAGCACCACCATGCTTGGCGTGAGATGAAGTAGAACTGCAATTGCATTGAATGCATTTGATTTTTCTCATTATTTCTGGAAAGTTCTGTTTAAAACAAGGTCTTATACAATGTCCAAGATGAAAATAAGTTTTTTGTTTTGCAATAATGCTTGAACAACACTAGTTCTAGTCCCATTACTGGTAAATACTTTTTTATAGATAATCTATGTTTTTAATTTTGTCCATACTGACAAACGTTCATCTTTAGTTTAAATAATATCTGTCAACACTGACACAGACATCCATGTCCATGTTTTGTTTTGATCTATATTCTGCATTTTATTTCATTATTCAGCTTTCAGAGATAAATGTATATTAATATTACACTACACGTACAGTACTTTTTATAAAATAATAACATGGTAGGATATTTTAAGTTACGACTTTCCTACTATATTATATATATATAGTGGCCTACAGTAAACGCATTTTAAATAAATGATTATAATTTAATACATATACCTCAAATGAAATGTTGGCACACTTTCTTACATATATTCATTCATATATATTTCAACATTAAAGAACATTTTATTTCTGATAAGAAAACGCGGAAACGTTTTCAGTTGGGTACAGTCCGTCATCAAAAATACATGTACGTGTTCGGAACTGTTCAAAAATAGGTCTCCTGGTTTAAACAGTTATGAATATATTTATGTTTTACTTTTTTTGCAAATATTTTTGGATGAAGTCAAGATAACAATGAAAATCTCAGAATGAAAATGATGAATAAAAGAATGATTATAAACATACCAGAATGACAATGAAGATTTCAGAATGATAATAAAGATATTTGTTTATCAAAAGTTCATTGTCATTCCAATATCTTTATTGTCATTCTCATACGCTTCATTATTATTCTGATATCTTCATTATAATACTGATATCTTCATTTTCATTATTATACATAATTATACTGAAATTATTATCATCATACATTTGCACCTATACACAATTCACAAGCAGATCCTCCACAAAACTATAACTTAAGAAATTAGTTACCTGCTTTTTCACTGCCTCCGTGGTCGAGGAGTTAGAGTCTAATCCAGTTACTTGTCTGGCGTGGGTTCGATCCCCGGGAGATGCTTTGATAGTTTTAGCACGGGAGGAATTTTAGTACTGTGTAACTATCCAGGAACGATGGTTAGGAAACTACCCGCCTATATGATTGAAATATTGTTTGGGGAAAAAAGCGTAAAATGAAACAAACAAACAAACAAAACCTGTTATCGAACCCGTTTTTGATTCTGTGGAATATTTATTTTAATGAACACGAAACAGTTTAAACTTAAAAATAAAGAATAGGAAATAATTACAGCTGCAATTATATGATATCATGTGCCATACATACAGGGGTTAAATGCACCCGAGGTCGGTTTCAGAAAAAAATAAAGATATAATAGACTCGATCATCTTTGGCAAAATACTTTTAATTCTACCAAAGGTTTATGTCGGATTTTTATTACTTCACAACAGCAGGTGTCAAGTGCTGTGTGGCAGTTGTAAAAGTTGCCCTTTCTTCAATTCCGTGTTATTTATATTTTTCTGGTCTTCGGATCATTTGATACCAGCACTATTAAGTGTTGAGAAAATCGAGTACGCTTAAGCCGGTGCTAGGGGGGGCGTGAGGAAGTTGCTCTTTTTCAGTATCCCTCATGAACAGACTCAATCAAACCGAGTCTGCAATTCTTATGTAATTTTGTTGTGATTAATGCTTCCGAGGGATAACTTTCTTTCCGGATTTTTCAAAACAAGAGAATGCTCAAATTGTCTTTCGGGAGCTGCTTTCTTATTAGCAGGGTTAAAGTCGATGTAGGCCTTTCCCTTAAAAATAACGCCATTTTTTAACAGATCACAAAGACGACATTCAGCTCTATTGATTGAGGAAGACTCAGGTGTCGCGCTTTGCTCCTTTAATACAGGTAAAGTGATTAGAGCAAAGATGTATCCATGAAATGGTAATGAACGTAACCTTGTAAATGTTACACCCATTCATGTGATCACTTTATAGAGAAAACAGAAAACGTTGTTTTTTTGGACAGCCGCCGCATTTTAAAAAAAATTTTTTTATTATGTTTGGCTACCTGAAATATGCAATTTCAAAGGGAATTTATCCTTGTAAAAAGATTATATAAATGCATGATTAGTCTCTCCCTCATATTGTTTATTACCGAATGTACTTGTAAATTAAGTATTTTGATACATACATGTTTTAATACGAACAGTATAGTCTCCCTGGATTATTTTTTATCGCCCCATAATGTAATTTTTTTCAGTATTTCTCCTAATGATATTTATAAATTATATATGTGACAGGGCATTTTTTTCTGTCATATCAATAAAAAATAAACACAGTTACACACATTTAATTTAACTGGACCTGTCATAAATCATTCTATGGGTGGGCTAAAGAGGTACATAATTATGTATCTCCACTTACATAGTGATGATAATATAACTTGATTCCAACTTGGTATAAAACTTTATTCCAAGTGATTCCAACAAATGTTGCCAACGGGGCACCGCTCAAGCCAGTGCTAGGAGGCGTGAGGGATGTAGAACATTTTTACTATTTCAAAAGGAATAGTGATTATATGCTTCCAGAAGATCAAACTTTTTGCTGATTTTTTATAGTACTTCAAAACAGCAGGTGTCAAGTTCTGCTTGTAGCAGCCGTACTATTTCAGTGTTGTTGTTGTTGTCTTTTTTTTTACTTTCTAGACTTTGATTCCAACACTTTTGTGTGTTGAAAATTATTAAGTACTACTCAAGCCGGTGCTATGGGGCGTGAGGGGAGGTTGTACTTTATCATCAATTCTCGTGTACAGACTCGATAACAAAACAATGAGAAACAAAGATCAATGCAAGGTGACATCCACGGAACGCAGTCCCCCGACACAATCAAGTCCATACCAGCAAACCGAGTAAACTTTTCAAGTAATTTTGTTGTTATTTATGCAAGATTTCTCAGACTTACTTATAATGCACCCGGATCATAGAATAACATTCAGCCTTTATAATATATACTATAAGGAGAATACTCGGATCATATCACATGCAGTGACAATTAACGTATTTACAAAATTGAAATAATTTGTATAAAGGCATATGTGACATCTTATAACTGTAACGACTTGTATATATCATGTGTTAATGCATTTTGTAGACTTGTCGATTGCGTTTTATCTTACACGTTTTTTCACGAGTCTACAGTGCATATATATTTTACAAACGTTATTTCCCAAGTCAATGTCTCGTTCCTAGTACAGGCTAGTACAGTGCATATATTTTATTAACGTTTTTTTTTCATCAGTCAATGTCTCATCCCTAGTACAGTGCATATATGTTACAAAAGTTATATCACCAGTCAATGTCTCATTCCTAGTACAGTGCATATATTTTACAAACGTTATTTATGTACTGGCAGCTTAGTCTTTGCTATATATGGAAATAGTGGGAAGTAAATATTTGACAAGGTTTATAAACCAACTTGTTCTGCAAGAGAGGAAAAACAAATGATACACAAATCACATTTTGTACAATCTTTTATTAAGAAAAGTCACACATTCATGCTATCAAAACCAATCAAACAAACATGATTTATTTAATAGTACTACATTAATAACAAAAACAATATAATGCTCTCTATGAAGCTTCCATGATAAGATCATATACAGAATACTGTTTTCCATAAACAATTCATGTTTTAGACAGTCATGTTTTTGTATATATGTATATGTACAATCGACATATTCGAGCATGAACTTATCTTAACTTCATATACGGTAGTATTGTTTTAGCATAAACATGGCCAAAACAATAAATATATAAGTTAACCAAGTATATGTAATTAAAGGATTATAAATGTATGAGATGGATTTAATCATACAATATTCACTAAACAGACATAGTTAATATATAATGTACAATTGACATAACATATTACAGCATGAACTTATCTTAACTTCATATAGAATTGTTTATGCATAAACATGGACAATATAGATTTGTTATTAGTACATGTAAATTGTATGTTTACAAATATACTAGAATTGTAAAATCTATATTCCAAGTCACAAACAAACATGTCTGATGCATAAGTTCACAAGACATAACAAATCTTAAGCATGGAATAAACATAAACATTCATATATCTAGTTAACAATTAATAACATCTTCATGTAATTATATGTTTACTTATATACCAGATGAATTTACTCTACATATACATTTAAAGTTTACAGGCACATTTCGCCTCAGAAATGAATATATTTTTATTTTTGTAAAAGGGCCAATATGTGTTTTATAATGTTGTAATAATATATTTAGACCAAGTGCTATTCTTATCACCTGCCAAAAAATTGAGTTTATTAATATAGATGCAAAATGTAAAAAAAAAAAATGTTATTTTACTTCCATATATAATACTTTTTCACCATACTTGTACTGGTTGCTAAAATGCAAAAGAAACAAAAGTTGGCTTAGATATATGGCCTATGAAAAAAGGTTAAGGACACCGAAAATATAAACTTTTGAAAAATAACATACTGCATTTTCTAAGCTTAATGGGCCTTTAAATCAAACATGAATAAATGCAAAACAAACATAGGATGGCTCTGGTATATAGACAATGAAAAACTCTTTGGACACAATTTTTTTTTAGCTTTTTAAAAATAAAGTGATTGTATTTTTTAAGGTATAATGGGCCTTTAAATCAAACATGTCCCAAAATCTTTCTTTATATAAAATTATGTTATCTTATTTTCATAAAAGCATTGCAATAGCATGTCACTTAAACAACAAACATGTATATATATGTTATAATATGTTTACATATGCACTTGATACATTCATTCATTCAGAATAAAGGCAAAGACAAGTGTAACATATGTTTACATATAACATAATCTAAATCTTGGTATAATTTATACTAACCATGAGCAAGCATAAAAATCTAACATACCTTTAATAAAATGTAGTTATATCATTACTGTTTGAAAGCATAAAACTTCATTTTAGCATCGTCCGAACCCATACATTCAGATTTTACTGAACTACATTCATCACGAATGAAGTGTATTCATAACCAGTATGCTTTAATTACCCAGGATGCATTTTAAGACAGTATATTACAACATATCTTTTTAGTAATTTCGTGTAACATATGTTTTACAATACATGTAAACTAACATATCATTATTATGCTGACATCAGCAGAAATATAACTTATATATGCCTTTAATGTGATAATGTCTTGGTACTAAAATATGACAAATTGTTTAATTAAAAAGTTCTAATTCAACTGTTTCATAAATATATGAACATAAACATCTGATAGTATATAACTTTATAAAATATGGCTGTCTGTGTGAAAGAGCATATTGGCAACCGAGAGCTGGTATATATCCCTCAGGTATAGCTGAGACTTATTATTTTCCTGAGGGGCAACTGAGAACTGACTTATGCCGAGAACTGGAATACATTCCACCCATTGGGGGTAACCGAGAATTTATATATATCCCCCTAGGGGCAGTCAAGAACAGGTATATATCCCTGAGAACTGACTTATGCCGAGAACTTATCCGAGGGGTAGCTGAGAACTTGTTTGTATCCTCGTGGGGCACCTGTGAACTGGTATATATCCCTACGGGACACCTGTGAACTGGTATATATCCCCAAGGGGCAGCTGAGAACTGGTATATATCCCTAAGGGACAGCTGAGAACTGGTATATATCCCCAAGGGACAGCTAAAAACTTGTATATATCCCCAAGGGGCAGCTGAGAACTGGTATATAACCCCAAGGGACAGCTGAGAACTGGTATATATTCCCAAGAGACAGCTGAGAACTGGTATATATCCCTGAGGGACAGCTGAGAACTGGTATATATCCCCAAGGGACAGCTGAGAACTGGTATGTATCCCCAGGGGACAGCTGAGAACTGGTATATATCCCCAAGGGGCAGCTGAAAACTTGTATATATTCCCAAGGGGCAGCTGAGAACTGGTATGTATAAGGAAAATCAATGACTCCCACCCCCCCCCATATTTTTGACCCTTGGGAATTTATTTGAACACACTTGGTAGACACTGACTAGACAATGTTTTATGCCAACTATTTAAGCTCTATCTCTTTCAGTTTTTCTATAAGAAAATTTTTATGTTTTTTCTTTTTGTTGCCATGGCAACAAGAGTTCTGTATGGAATTAAATTTTTTGAAGAATTTTTTAAGTTGACTACCAAAGGAACATTCTTGTGAAGTTTTAATGAAACTGGCTTAGCGGTTTATGAGATGTTGTTTAAAGTAAGAATTTACGCTGGACGGACGCTGGACAAAAAGCGATCACAATAGCTCAGTATGTCACTTTTATTTGTCACAGGTGAGGTGAGCTAAAATTCATATTTACATCTATGGTGTATAACATGTTTTGATTAAAAATTATGTTATACTGTCTATGTAGTAACAGTATATACTAGTACATATAAATTTACAGCAAGGTACATCTATACTTGCCTTGTGTTTAAAATTATCATTCTAACATAAACAACAAAAAGTTCACTTAAAGGAGCTCCACTGAGGTCCAAAATCCAAACAATAAAAAATAAAAATAGAAAATCCAAAACTGATTAATCGGGATATTCAATAAAGGAAAAAATGATACTAAAGAAATATACTCGGAATGAAATTGAACATCGATATTAATGAAGTGCAATTTTCAGACGGACTTTAGCTATAAACATTTAAACACTGTTGACAGGACATTGTGCTTGACTATCCACAGTGATAGATAATGCAGAATTTTCTAACTTCAAAAAGGGAAATAATTCTGCCAAATATCTATGTGCTCGGACAGTGACTTCCTATTACTCTCATATATGTGTGTGAAGTTCTAATCCACTCTTATACGTAAAAACTTAACCAAGATTTTTTAAGTCGTAAAAGGGGAATAAATATGAGGAAAAAATATGAGAGGTATGGGATTTGTGTTAGTCATGTTAAAGAACAAGAATGTCAATTGAAATTTTCATTCAGTAGTTTTTTAGATACCAACTTGCACACATAAAAGTAACCTAAATTTGACGCCAATGCGGTAAGTACTATTATAGCATTAGCTATTCATTGAATAGTCGAGCTAAAATGATTACTAGTGTTTTTGGAAAAACAAAGTAAGCAAATAATAATCTGAAATTTTGCATACAAATTTAATACATGAAAAATAATATATCTTCTTCAAATAGTATGAAACCTCAACAACATAACTCCTGTCCTATCATGTCAAGAAATTAAGAAAATATTATCCTCAGTGGAGACCCTTTAACTATACTGTTTGAATAATACTGATTAACAGTATTAACTTGTACACATTAATGGTTTTCAGAATTACAATTTGTAAATTTTTACAATCTTTACAATATAAAACAATCCAAGAAGGAATGTCTAAAATATAACATGTAAATGGTCCTCATCTCAATGAAACAATTTACTTGTCCTATATATCATCTAACAGGTATTTATATATAACATTCCATTGTCCTATATATAATATAACTTGTGTTGATATAAATAATTCCATTGTCTAAATATTGTATAACAGGAATTTACATATAACATTCCTTGTCTTACATAACATATAACTGGTATTCATTAATACCATTCCATTTTATAACTGGTATTGATATATACCATTTTCTTTGCATATTTAACATATAATAAACATATATGGCATTTTTATATACCAAACACTTATATCCTATATATCATATAATTGGTATTCATATATACCATTCCATTGTCCTAAATATCATATAACTGGTATTTATATATACCATTCACTTGTCCTATATATCATATAATTGGTATTCATATATACCATTCCCTTGTCTTATATATCATATAACTGGTATTTATATATACCATTCACTTGTCCTATATATCATATAATTGGTATTCATATATACCATTCCCTTGTCTTATATATCATATAACTGGTATTTATATATACCATTCCCTTGTCCTATATATCATTTAACTTGTATTGATATATACCATTCCCTTGACATATTTCTCATATGACCGGTAATTACATACCATTCCCTTGTCCTATCATATATTATATAATATAACTGGTATTTGAATGTTATATAAATTTATCTTTTACTTTTTCTGACCTTGTACATTAAATTTTTCCATTCAAATTGCTTATTATATTTACTTATTCATTAATTTATTTACTTGCTAATCTATTTATCTATTTATGTATTTATAATTCAAACAACCTATTACTTTTTCAAATTATACTTTTCACAAACTATCCCTGATCTTTAAAAAAAAAACAGTTACCTATATTTTCTTTATATTTCACTGCATTTCTTTCATTTATTTATTTAAATACACATTTGAATATTACTTTCATCAATTTCAATATTACTACAATGATCAGAAATTGATATTTAATGAACTGTTTTTGATGATTGTTATTTATCATATTGAATTACATTTATTATTTAACATATCAATATGTAACTTTTATATATTATTTTTGCTGATAATGTTTATTTTAATAATTATGTCTTTTATCATGAAATAATTTAGATTAAGCACTATGTTAACTGCATGTATTCTATCTCACTATGTTAAAAATTCAGATCATTTTTTTGTTGAAAATGAAAAACCAAATTATCATCTCTTTTAATAATTTAGTTTAACACTTCATGTATTCTAAATTGATACTTTTATCCCCTTTTTGTTGAAAATTCAAACAAATCATCTCTTTTAACATGCAATAATTTATGTTTACTACAAGTTTACTTTTTTGTTGAAAATACAAACCAAATAGTATCATCCTGTTTAACATGAAATAACTGATCCTGATCTTTTACATACTGTATAGCAACATTTCCCTTCCCTCCTCTAAGTCCTTGTAATGTCAATGTAAACATACCATCATTAAACTCCTCACCATCTCCTGTTATATAACAGTTAAATACTCTCACATCTACAGTATGAGGAATACCAGGAAGACTATCAATAAACTTCTGCCATGTTGTCAAACTCATTATGACATTTTGAAGCATAATGTACTTTAAACTCTTCATCTCTGAAGGTAATTGTGTTATATTGTCAGTAAACCTACAATACCATAACTCAAGCTTACTGAGATTGTGTAACAATGGTAATACTGTGACTAGTCTCTTTGTTATGTTGGTATGATATAATTGAGATTTATTGTAATAATCTTCATACAATTTGAGTTCTTTTAATTTGTTAGATTTTCTAATAATATCAAATATTTTCTCATAATTACCATTTTTCAATTTACAAAATGTAAATATTTCAAGGTTTGTAGTATCAGCATCTATCACACTAACAGTCTTATACAAATGAAGGTACTGAAGTTGTTGATGTTTTGATAAATTTACATCATGCTGCTTCATACACTCACATTTAACTTTATAAAGATGTATTTGTTCAAGATGACTTGTTCCCTCAAGAAAATTACAAAATGTAGTAGTATCATCATGACTCATTGTTATATCAAACATACTACTCATATTACTTATTGCTACAAGATTGTTCATACTAGGTAGGTTACTAACAACTGTTTTAAACACTGGGTAATACTTGTCAGTGTAAGAGTCATCAAGAGACAGAGACAGAGATTTTAATGTTGAAGTATTTACTTTAATTGTCTCACAAACACAATTGTTCATCTCATTAATCGTCGGTTCATTACTCTGTGTACTTGATATCATTTGTGATACAGATGCATATCTTATTTCAATTTTTTCAAGATGATGAAACATTGGTAAATATTTTGTTAATTTAACATTTTGTGTGCTGATGTAACCTACATAAATAGACAGAACATTTTGTGTGCTGATGTAACCTACATAAATAGACAGAACAGTGTCAGGAACAATGTGTTTCTGATCAATACCTGAACAAACAATATCACAAGACTGATCCCATCTATCAATGACCAAATCTCCTATATAAAACACAGTATTACTTCCTATACTACATGCTGCATTGAATTCTTCCATTGAGTCAAACATAAGCTTTTGAATATCAGTAATACAACTATGGTCGTCATAAATTCTACTATTTATTGTTCTCCTGTATTCCTGAACACGAGAGTCTTTTGACACAGTATCATATATGTATTTTGAAACATGTGTTGCTAATCTTGGATCTAGACCACATAGCATAATAATTACATTTGACTGCTCTAATATGTCATTGACTGTTGAACATTTCTGAAAAACCTCATTAATAAACTTCTTGGCTAATTCATTATTTCCTGCACTATCTGATGAACACATTTTTGCATTGAAATTGATACAAATATTCACTGCAGCCAGAAATTCTTGCATTGATTTGTGAATAAAAGAGAACAATGAGCTTGGTGGTTCTGATACAGATAAACTTGGACATTCATCTTCTGTCATTATTCCAAGTTTCAAGGAATTTTCTCTTACTTCATCTGATATTTCGAGTTCATCAAACATACAAATGTCAAATGTCAAAGATTTATCCTTCGGACAATTAAATAGTGTCTCATAAGCCAACTGTGACACTTCATAAATGAAATGGCGATTTAATCTTAATTTGGTTTTATCAGCTAAATATTTAGGAAGATCTACTTTCTGGGTCCCCTTCATGAGTCGAGTACTTGTTCCTGTAGTTTTCATGTCATTCCATGTGAAGAATAATTCTAACATACCGGTGTAGATGGCACATCTTGAGGTTTTATCGAGTTTACCATCAAACCATAGACATATCAGTTGGTGTAGCATAATTGGTACCTTTTTTAAACTTTCCAGAGACTTTTCTTCTAGATTTTCCCTACATTCTCTAGCTTCTTTATTGGCATGTCTGCTTACATTTAATTGTGAGACTGTTCTATCTACCATTTCCCTTTCACATCTTAGATCAAACCCTTTCAGTTTCAGTGATTGTTCAATCTCCACATCACTTGATCTTAATGTATGAAATTTCCATGGCCTTGAAGTTGTTACTATTGTGTACTCCTTAAAGATGCTATGTTCTGGGACATTTTCAGAAGACCATTCATCTAAGCCATCAAGCAAAATCATAACTCTAGAGGATTCCTCTTCAAGAAGTGTGTTTAACATTTTCATTTGATAACGTTTTAGAAGCATTTCATCAATGCCAATGTTTTGATTATACTGTCTAAGAGGGATGTAAAATACAAAATCAAATTTCTTCATCTCTTTTACACCATTGAATTTAAGTTCATAATTTTTGCTATCATATTCAGAGTCATAAATGTTAAATTCAGAGTCAGTTAAGTTAGTATAAGAGTCATCACTGTCAAATTCAAAGTCAGTATCAGAGTTGTCACTATGGGATTCGGAGTGTATTAAGTCACCATCAGAGTCGTCACTATCGGATTCAGAGTGTATTAAGTCACCATCAGAGTCGTCACTATCGGATTCGGAGTGTATTAAGTCACCATCAGAGTTGTCACTATGGGATTCAGAGTTATATAAGATATCAGAGTCACCATTGTGGGATTCGGAGTGTATTAAGTCAAAACTGTTATCCTGAATGACATCACTGTCACTTCCATTTTTCTTAATGCCACCCACATGTTTTTCATCTCCAGGTTTCTCGTTAAGATCTTGATGTGTCTTACTGCACTCTTTGTTTTCAATGTCTCTACTATGTGTCCCCTTTACCTCTTCATTTACAATGTCACAGCCCTTTTTTTCATATTCTTCAAAATCACCTCCTTGTTTCTCAGTACCACCTTCATTGTCATTGACACCTCCAGCTTCATGTTTTTCATCATCACCTCCATGTTTTTCACTGTCACCTTCAGGTTTACTACTGCCACCTGCATTTTCATTGCCAGCTCCATGTTTTTCACCATCACCTCCATGTTTTTCACTGTCGCCTTCAGGTTTACTACTGCCTTCTTCATTTTCATTGCCATCTTCAATGTCAGCTCCATGTTCTTCACTGTGTGACAAACACCAACAGTTCACCAGATATTTACAAAAACTAGTTTTTCCTGACCCTGCATCTCCTAGAACATATACAGATTTTTGGGGGACTCCGTTCTTTGTGAAGATTTTTGACATTGTATTAACCCTCACTTCCTTTGTCTCCCCCTTTTCTCCTTTTATTTCCCTCGTTATTTTGGGCCTAATATAAATCTCATTAAAGCTACATTTTTCACTTTTTGGTTGTAAAGGTGTTGTAGGAACTTGCAGCAGGGTTTTGTGATACTGTTCAATCAGCTTTTTCCGCCATTCTGTAATTTAAATGATTATATGACATCAAATTGTTAAGAACAAATCAATGAGTAAATGATACAGAAAATAAGTATAGGTCTGGACAGATTATCGCAGAAATATATAAAAGAAAAAGAACAGATCACAGGGGGCCTCATTGAAATGTAACACAAATTAGTAAATCAGCAAATATTGAACAGACTGAAGCTAGTTAATGACAACAATCACAACATTAAGCCTTTTCATATTCTATACAACATACCTGATTTAGCCTTTCACATTCTATGTAACATACCAGATCTCGCCTTTTCATATTCTATATACCATACATGATTTAGCCTTTTCATAGATTATATTACATGCCTGATTTAGCCTTTTCTTATTCTATACAAAATATCTGATTTAGCCTTTTCATATTTAAATCACATACCTGATTTAGCCTTTACATATTCTATATACCATACATGATTTAGCCTTTTCATAGATTATATTACATGCCTGATTTAGCCTTTTCTTATTCTATACAAAAATATCTGATTTAGCCTTTTCATATTTAAATCACATACCTGATTTAGCCTTTACATATTCTATATACCATACATGATTTAGCCTTTTGATAGATTATATTATATGCCTGATTTAGCCTTTTCTTATTCTATACAAAAATATCTGATTTAGCCTTTTCATATTTAAATCACATACCTGATTTAGCCTTTACATATTCTATATACCATACATGATTTAGCCTTATCATAGATTATATTACATGCCTGATTTAGCCTTTTCTTATTCTATACAAAAATATCTGATTTAGCCTTTTCATATTTAAATCACATACCTGATTTAGCCGTTACATATTCTATATACCATACATGATTTAGCCTTTTCATAGATTATATTACATGCCTGATTTAGCCTTTTCTTATTCTATAGAAAATATCTGATTTAGCCTTTTCATATTTGAAAAACATACCTGATTTTGCCTTTACATGTTCTATATAACATACCGGATAGAACCTTTTCATATTCGATATAACATACCCGATTTGGACTTTTCATATCCTAAGAACATACCTGATTTAGCCTTTTCATATTTAAATCACATACCTGAATTAGCATTTACATATTCTATATAACATACCTGATATAACTTTTTCATATTCTATATAACATAGCTGATTTAGCCTTTTCATATTCTTAATACATTTGAAGCATACCTGATTTAGCCTTTTGAAATTCTAACTGTTTTTGTTGAGGAGAATCTTCTTCCTTGAGTCTTTTTATCTCCTACAACATAAATAATAATACAAATAATTATGTTTAATTCGGTAATTTTCAAAAATGTTTTTTTTCTTCTTTAAATGTATTGTATGTATGTATCAGTAATATTGGCATTTTCAGTTAGTCTGTGTCCCCAAGTCATTCTACGTTGCAATATATCTCATAAAAATCAAATCAAATTTCCTTATTTGAAAATCAATTTTATTGCATTGAAGGAATCCTATATGGAGCATCTTTTAATTTGACATTTTAGGTGCATTAGTCCCTTTTTAAATTTCTTCTAGATATTGGAATTGAGGGACAATCGCTCACCTGAATATGAATATTCTCCATGACAAGGAACAAGTTATATATTAATACAAATGAAAGCAGATATAAAACAAAATCTTAAACTGATATCACAAAGTTCATATTTGGATCTGAAATAGTGCATGTGTAACAAGAGGGTCATGATTGCCCTGAAGTCACTCACCTGTATATACCCCCCCCCCCTGGGGGGGTCAATGTAAACCCCAAGGGCTTTTATTTTATCAAACATGGTAGACATCCATTAGAATATGTTTCATGCTAAATATCTAAGCTCTAGCTCTTTAGTCTTTTTAAAAGAAGATTTTAAGTTTTTACTTCACACATATAGGGAACAAGAGCTGTCACCCAAGTGGCAAATGCTACCGAAAAGCATTATTTGACTCGACAAATCGTCTCTATGTTGTAGACATTTATGCCAAGATATTCTTAAATCCTTCAAAGCATGACAAACTTACAGCCCGGACACTATTATATGTACCTATTAATTCTAATTGTGATAAATTAAATGTGATACTTCAAAATGATAGTGTGACCTTGACCTTTGAGGTAGGGACGTGTTTCTTGGACGCGAAACAACATATTGATGTGGTAAACAATTGTGCCAACTTAATTTAAAATCCCTCAATGTATGACAAAGTTACAGTCTGATCACGAATGAAGTGGGGACGCACAGACGGACGGACGGACGGTCAGACGGATGGTGCGATTTTAATATGACTCCTTTCCGGGGCATAAAACAATGAACCCCAGGGGGTCCAATTTTTACCCCAGGGTTTTTATTTTAACAAACTTGGTAGACATTCACTCAATGGTGTTTCATGCCAAATATCTAAACTGCAGCTCTTTGGGTTTTTAAAAAGGAGATATTTTAATTATTTACTTTACACAAAAAAAAAGGAAAATCAATGACTCCCCGCCAAGACGGGGCCAATTTTAACCCAAGGGCTTTTATTTGAACAAACTTGGTAGACACCCATTAGAAGATGTTTCATGTTAAATATCTAAGCTGTAGCTGTAGCTCTAGCTCGTTGGGATTTTTAAAAGAAGATTTATTAAGTATTTACTATACACATATAGTTAAAAACAATGACACCCCTGGGGCAGGGCCAACTTTGTAGACACTCACTAGAAGATGTGCCATGCTTAATATCTAAACTCTAGCTATTTGGGTTTTTATAAGAAGATTTTTTAAGTTTTTACTAAAAACATATTAGGGAAATCAATGACCCCTGGGGCTGGGCCAATTTGAACCCAAGGGCTCTTATTTGAACAAATTTGGTAGATACCCATTAGAACACGTTTCATGCTAATTATTTTAGCTCTAGCTCTTTGGGTTCTTTAAAAGAAGATATTTCAAAGCTTTTACTATATGCCAAGACCCACTGGGGCGCTGCCAATTTTGACCCCAGCGCTTGTATGTGAACAAACTTGGGAGACACTCTCTAGAAGATGTTTCATGCCAAATATCTAAGCTCTAGCTCTTTGAGTTTTTAAAAGAAGGTATTTAAAGTTTTTTTTTTCTTTTGGTTGCCATGGCAACCAGAGTTCTGCATGGAATTAAATTATATGGTTGCCATGGCAACCAGAGTTCTGCATGGAATTAAATTCTTGAACAAATTTTAAAGGTGACCACCAAAGGAACATTCATGTGAAGTTTGGGTAAAATTTGCTTAGTGGTTAATGAGAACATGTCATTTAAAGGATGCCGGACAAAAAGCAATCACAAAAGCTTACCCTGTCAGCTAAAAACTTTTGCTAAGGGCTTCGAGCACAATTTTATAAACAAGAGGGCCAAAAAGGCCCTAGATCCCTCACTTGACCCATCGAACTCATCCAAACAATTACCTAGACAAGCATTCTGACCAAGTTTCATGACAGGTAAGTCAAAAATGTGACCACTAGAGTGTTAACAAAGATTATTCATATTTGCCAAGTGTGACCTAGTTTTTGACCCCAGGTGACCCAAATTGACACTTGACCTAGAAATCATCAAAATAAACTTTCCAACCACTATACAGGATACTTGGATCAAAATAGTTGCCACCAGAGTGTTAACAAGATTTTTCTTTTTTTAGCTCCTGTGAGCTAGTCTTTCATCCCAGATGACCCATATTCGAACTCGTCCGAGCAATTACCTAGACAAGCATACTGACCAAGTTTGATGATGATTGAATCAAAAATGTAACCACTAGAGTGTTAACAATGTTTTTCTATTTTAGCTCTAGTTTTTCATCCGAGATGACCCATGTTCAAAATCATCCGAGCTATTACCTAGATAAGCAACCTGACAAAGTTTGATGATGATTGATGCAAAAATGTGACCGCTAGAGTGTTAATAAACAAGCGGTCCTACTAAACACTGCTAAGGACTGCTAAGGACCGCTAAGGACTGCTAAGGACTGCTAAGGAGCCACAAAGAACTACTAGGGAGGCACAAAGGACCTTAAAATACCTCCTAGGGCATTCTTATAATATATGGTAGTATGTTTAGTGAAAAAAAAATTACAATTTTAAGAAAAAATATTATTTTGGTGAAAATTTTATGAGTTGCCGGACCGCTAAGGACTGCTCAGATACACAAAAGACGGCTAGGGAGGCACAAAGGACCTTAAAATACCTCCTAGAACATTCTTATAATATATGGTAGTAAGTTAATAGACAAAAATGTATTATTGTAAGAAAAGATATAATTTTTGTGATAGAATTTATGCTTTCGATGAGTTGCCGGACCGCTAAGGACTGCTCAGATACACAAAAGACTGCTAGGGAGGCACATTTTTTTTTTTTTAAGGACCTTAAAATACCTCCTAGGGCATTCTTATAATACAAGGTAGTATGTTTAGTGACAAAAAATGTATTATTTTAAGAAAAAATATCATTTTAGTGGTAAAATTTATGTTTTTGAAGAGTTGCCAGACCGCTAAGGACTGCACAGGTGCAAAAACAACTGCTAGGAAGGCACAAAGGACCTTAAAATCCCTCCTAGAACATTCTTATAAAATATGGTAGTAAGTTAATGGACAAAAATGTATTATTGTAAGAAAAAATATAATTTTCGTGATAGAATTAAAAAAAATTTATGCTTTCGATGAGTTGCAGGACCGCTAAGGACTGCTCAGGTGTGCAAAGGACTGCTAGGGAGGCACAAAAGACCTTAAAATATTTCCTAGGGAGGCACAAAGGACCTTAAAATACCTGTGAGGGCATTCCTGTAATACATGGTAGTATGTTTAGTGACAAAAAATGTATAATTTTAAGAAAAAATATAATTTTGGTGATAGAATTTATGCTTTCGATGAGTTGCTGGACCGCTAAGGACTGCTCAGGTGCACTAACAACTGCTAGGGAGGCACAAAGGACCTTAAAATCCCTCCTAGAACATTCTTATAATATATGGTAGTAAGTTAATAGACAAAAATGTTTCATTGTAAGAAAAATTTATAATATTTGTGATAGAATTTATGCTTTCGATGAGGTGCAGGACCACTAAGGACTGCTCAGGTGCGCAAAGGACTGCTAGGGAGGCACAAAAGACCTTAAAAAATTTCCTAGGGAGGCAAAAAAGGCCTTAAAATACCTGTGAGGGCATACCTATAATACATGGTAGTATGTTTAGTGACAAAAAAATGTATAATTTTAAGAAAAAATATAATTTTGGTGATAGAATTTATGCTTTCGATGAGTTGCTGGACCGCTAAGGACTGCTCAGGTGCACTAACAACTGCTAGGGAGGCACAAAGGACCTTAAAATCCCTCCTAGAACATTCTTATAATATATGGTAGTAAGTTAATAGACAAAAATGTATTATTGTAAGAAAAAATATAATTTTTGTGATAGAATTTATGCTTTCGATGAGGTGCAGGACCGCTAAGGACTGCTCAGGTGCGCAAAGGACTGCTAAGGAGGCACAAAAGACCTTAAAAAATTTCCTAGGGAGGCACAAAGGGCCTTAAAATACCTGTGAGGGCATTTTTATAATACATGGTAGTATGTTTAGTGACAAAAAATGTATAATTTTAAGAAAAAATATAATTTTGGTGATAGAATTTATGCTTTCGAGGAGTTGCCACACCGCTAAGGACTGCTCAGGTGCACTAACAACTGCTAGGGCGGCACAAAGGACCTTAAAATCCCTCCTAGAACATTCTTATAATATATGGTAGTAAGTTAATAGACAAAAATGTTTTATTGTAAGAAAAATTTATAATATTTGTGATAGAATTATGCTTTCGATGAGGTGCAGGACCACTAAGGACTGCTCAGGTGCGCAAAGGACTGCTAGGGAGGCACAAAAGACCTTAAAAAATTTCCTAGGGAGGCAAAAAAGGCCTTAAAATACCTGTGAGGGCATACCTATAATACATGGTATTATGATTAGTGACAAAAAATGTATAATTTTAAGAAAAAATATAATTTTGGTGATAGAATTTATGCTTTCGATGAGTTGCTGGACCGCTAAGGACTGCTCAGGTGCACTAACAACTGCTAGGGAGGCACAAAGGACCTTAAAATCCCTCCTAGAACATTCTTATAATATATGGTAGTAAGTTAATAGACAAAAATGTATTATTGTAAGAAAAAATATAATTTTTGTGATAGAATTTATGCTTTCGATGAGGTGCAGGACCGCTAAGGACTGCTCAGGTGCGCAAAGGACTGCTAGGGAGGCACAAAACACCTTAAAAAATTTCCTAGGGAGGCACAAAGGGCCTTAAAATGCATGTGAGGGCATTTTTATAATACATGGTAGTATGTTTAGTGACAAAAAATGTATAATTTTAAGAAAAAATATAATTTTTGTGATAGAATTTATGCTTTCGATGAGGTGCAGGACCGCTAAGGACTGCTCAGGTGCGCAAAGGACTGCTAGGGAGGCACAAAAAGACCTTAAAATATTTCCTAGGGAGGCACA